GGGAGACACACGGTAGACACACGGAAGACACACGGTAGACACACGGTAGACACACGGTTGACACACGGTGGACACACGGTAGTCACACGGTAGACACACGGTAGACACACGGTAGACACACGGTGGACACACGGTAGACACACGGAAGACACACGGTAGACACATGGTAGACACACGGTAGACACACGGTGGACATACGGTAGTCACACTGTAGACACACGGTAGACACACGGTAGACACACGGAAGACACACGGTAGACACGCGGTGGACACACGGTAGACACACGGTAGTCACACGGTAGACACACGGTAGACACACGGAAGACGCACGGTAGACACACGGTGGACACACGGTAGTCACACGGTAGACACAGGGAAGACACACGGTAGACACGCGGTGGACACACGGTAGACACACGGTAGACACACGGAAGACACACGGTAGACACACGATAGACACACGGTAGACACAGGGAAGACACACGTATCATAAGAATAAATGTGATCACTTTTCAGATGGAGAGGCAAGCATGACATTATGTGAAAAGATGACAACATCTGGTAAGGAGGTCTACATCAGCAGCAACCGACTGAAGATGTCATCTCTGGAAACAAGCACCTGCACCTGTACAGTCAGTGGGGCTGCGAGCCGCGTCACCCTGCTGGACGTCAGACTGGGCAACAGCCACGTGACCACACTGTCCATCAGGGACAAGACACGTACAGTGTACACCATCCATGGTGGCGACCTGGCAGTCCACTTCATGGAGGAGATTAACATCAGCCAATCAGAGTGGAGTTTACAGGTGGACGTTGTCCGTGACTATCTCCCTGACAAGATATGGATGAGAGTGGAAGGTAATTATTGAATAAGGCACCTTTGATGACAAAACGTGTAATGTTATCATTATAATTAAACGTCTTTGTTGATTCATTATCTTCCTTTTCTACAGGACACAACGGCTCTGACGTTACAGTCACATATAAGGGTATGTCCTTTGCTATTTCTACTTGGAGGGGGGGTGGGGTAGCCTAGTGGTTAAAGCGTTCGCTCGTCACGCCGAAGACCCGGGTTCGATTCCCGACATGTGTACAATGTGTGAAGCCCTTTTCTGGTGTCCCCCGCCGTGATATTGGTTAATTGTGTCGTAGTGCCATACTCACTCACTCACTCACTCACTCACTATTTCTACTTGTCTATATATGCTCGGTCACTCATTCAGCATAATTATTCAAAAAATTAAGCTGACATAATTAGAAAGTTAGATTGACACCAACGAAAAAACGAAACGTTATTAGTATCAACGTACAGTGCTAAGGAAATGAAAAATAATCTATCACGTATGTATAAGGTATGGTAACTTACTTACCACGAGCTGATGCGGTAAGAATGCGATTGTTTAATAAAATATATACTCTGTGGTCTGTTGGAGAGACTCAATTTTATTTATTCCAAATTCACCAAGTTATTCTTCTTCCATATCTGATTAAAACAGGTGTACCGCATCAAACAAAAGTAATACTTGAAGGAAGCACTTCTTTCTCCACCATAATAGATAGGGAGATTCCAATAATGATATTAGCTGTTGTAAGTTGCAAGCAGCTGAATTGAGGTTCCTAGACCATTCAGGGCATGTTGTATATGGAGAGGAAACAAAATGTGAGTTACAATGTTTATCGGGCATGGTTCAATGAATACATTCTTCTGACATCTTATTTATTTTCTTTCGTATGAGAAAACGTTAATTGGATAGAAAAACATAGTTTAAAACTTGAGTAGGTCAAACTGGACGTCTTTGTCCTACATCGTTATTGCATTGATCTATATGCCCCCATATCATTTTTTAAAAATTGTTTCAGAATCAGAGACTCGTGACACACATGGGGCGCCACGATCTTCGTCAGGTGAAGAGTGTTTGAATTATTGAGAAAATAGTACTATTGTATTTATCACTACATCTGTGGCAGGTGGTTAATATCTACATAGTTTACAAGTACATCATGAACGCATCTCGGGTTTGGGGGGTGGGGTTGGGGGGGGGGGGGGGTAGGAAGCTGGGATGAGCATAGACTGATGATTACTCTGAGGCATTGTGTCTTGTGGCAGTTCAGTAATCCACTGATGGTCGTTTTAAAAAATAAATCCTCCTAATTATGACTCCAGGTCAACACTGCAGCCATACTCGATGATTCCAGTAAAAGGGTTATTTTCTGTGTTGGGGGTCTTACGCTTGCAACTTGTGTCTTCATTTGTTTGTTTGTTGCTTAACACCGCACTCAGCAATATAACCTTTAGCGGCAAACATGGGTTGCTGAAGACCAATTCTACCCCGGATCTTTACGGGTCTAATCTGTCCCCAGGCACTCCGACGTCAGGATATTCTGTTTTGTACTGGATAACATATGTCCATTGTTTCCTTTTCATTGCAGGTCACACCCAGATTGTGTTTGTGTGCGTTGGCTTTGTCACAGGGTTTGCCTCTGTTGGTTTCATCATGGCTATTTGTGTTAAAAGGTAAATAATAAGAACACGGACTTGAACTAGTATTTGTCATAATGTTTTCATCCTGTGAGACATATCAACAAAAGCAGAAATACAACAATATTATCCATTCGTTCTGACTGAGCATTATCGTGTTTTAGGTCAGGACACGCGGGCTCCACGTCTAACGAAGGAGGCGATAAGGGCGTGGTCTACTACTCTCAACCGGATGAGTCACGTGTCCAGCAGCCAATCGGATCACCAGAAGGAGATGCTGCTGAACCTCACTACCACATGCCGGATGACCCACGTGACCAGGGAGCAGCAGGATGCAATGATTACTACCTGGTGCCTGTTCACCGACAGACACGATAAACCAGCCATTCCAGCCTTGCTGAAAAAGTGTCAATGCTTTGTCTTGCTTTGTTTATTGCACTATTATTAATGCACATAGTGATCATTTAGTGACATTTTATTCTATGGTGATGTCAAATGGGGTTTAACGTTGTTCATGTTTACTTCTATAGAGACGTGCATGCATGTGTGTGGCTACTGGTCCGGGCTTATGTCAGGTTTACAGCGCTCGCCCACTGAGATACCATGCCGTAGTTTAACACGGCCTCAGGCGGATTGAACAGACACCGATCTGACCAGTCATGGCTGTATGATGCTGAGCGCCAGGCAGGGTAACAACAAGAACCATCTTATAACAACTTTTGGTGTGACGGGGCCAGGGGATCGAACCACCGACCTTCCACTCTACGGACCATTGTTTATTGTGCATGGTGCTTGTAGACTATGTTATGTTTGGGAAAGGATAATGGAAAGGGTTTTGTCGATTTTAGTTATTGTAAACACCTTGTAATGGCATTGAACAGTGCATAAACATCTTGGTCTGAATTTTAAACAAAGGATTTAGGCTCGAAAAATAGAAAATTGGAGCTGCTCTTCCATATTTTATTACAGGAACCCTTGATGTAAGCACAGTTAATTCAAGGACAACTGACAGGACATTATTTTTGACTTATAAATTCCTTTTTTATTATAAACAACTTGTGAAAAAGACCTGTATCTCAAGGGATTGATTTCCCGCTGTATTTTATCAATTATTCTGGGTTTTTCTCGTCTACGTTTCACCATGCCCTGCCTGCAATAAAATCTGCCTCCTACCATGTGTTTGTCCATATGTGTATCAAAAAGAAAAGAGCCTTATGTTTGTAATTTGTAATGATCATTTGCATCCATTTCACTTTTAGAGCATATGCTAAGCACAATATGATGAAAAGTATTATAGATAAATGGGATTTTCGAGGTAGACCTTATCTATACAAGGCACAAAAGACTTGTGTAGAATCTCAAGTTCTTCTGTAACTTACTCAGCTATGCAATTTCTACCTATAATCAAAATGGAAGAACCTATGGGTACAGTTTAATTACACCTGTCTCTTTCTCCATTTACTTCCAGACAGTTTGGTTGGTGTAGATGCAGAGGAAACAATCCTTGTTTTGAAAACTTTACTTTGCTCAGTCTGTCAACCTGTGGTCAGTAAATTCCTCGACAGACGCAAAACACACATTTGAGTGTTGCGTCCCCGAGTCGTGCCAGGATCCGATGATGGAATGTTCGAATCCCACATACGCCCTGATTGTAGTCCTCTGTTTTTCTCTTATTTACCTGTGGTCGTGGGTTTCATCTGAGTTCTACACAGTGGACACAGTTCAGCAGCCGATGCATGCAATCAGCCGAGGCCAGCCACCCGATCCTTCCTGTCGCCTCCCGAGAGAGGCATAGGTTACTCCGGACCTAGTCTAACTATCAAGGATAAAAGCGAAAGTATATTGCCAAGTACCAAGAGAAAGCATCACTCGCGAACACCTGGTGTCATCACTGATTTTCAGTGATCTATTCATGTAATTTGTATCCCTCATTTTCCTTTTACGCCCAACATAAGTTGTATCAGTATCACGAGGGGTACATGTCGTTTAATGCGCCTTCCGAAAAACTAACGAGGGACGCATAAAACCTTATGATTGTTTCTATATTTGTTGTTTAACGCCGCACTCAGCAATATTCCAGCTATATGACGGCGGTCTGTAAGTAATCGAGTCTGGACAAGACAATCCAGTGATCGACATCAAAAGCATCGATCAATGCAATTGGGATACGATAACATGCATCAACCAAGTCAGCATGCCTTTCCACCCGATCCCGTTGGTCGCCTCTTACGACAAGCACAGTCGTCTTTGAATATGAAAAGGTTTTATGTCTTTAATTCACGACACTACACAGCTCCTGCTCCTTTGGAAATAGACATTTAGTTTAGTTGTTTAACGAGCCTGTGTCCGGCTTACAAGGAAGACGCAAATGACGGGACTGCATATTAGATCCGTTTCAATATTAGAGCCTGAAACATCAAGGCGGGATTTTGACAGATTCAACATTCTATTCAAGTGTAGAAAGACATAACCATATCTGAAACCTGCTGCATATGACTCACGAACACAATTGATAGGGAAATATTAACTCAAATGATTCGCGTACAGCCATGGAGACGGTCAGCGTGTTTGGATTATTGGTGTTACTGGCGAATTCCTGTCTCTGTAAGTAGATGTCTACACTGTTGCATCCTGATAGAACCAACTCTAAGAATCCTTCAAATCGTACTATCATTATTCGCTGGGACAAGTGAAGATCAGGGTTAGGATAGGTCTTCAGCAACCTATGCTTGTCGTAGGCTTGGGTGGTGAGGCTCGCAGATTAAGTTGCCAATTGCGTAGCTCGATGCTGGTCGTAAGAGGAGACTGAGCGATCAGGGTTGGTGATTTGTGTCATCGTACCCCGACGGCGTGGACCGTTGCTCATGATGTCAGCCACTTAATTGTCTGGTTCAGACCGCCGTCATATAGTTGGAATATTGCTGGGAGCGGCATTAAACAACACACAAACCAACAAACTAAACATTATTCGTATGTGTAGTGTTGTTGAATATGATTTCTTGCGGTTTTTAAAATTAATTTTATCCCACTTTGCCAATTCCGATGTTGACTGTAACTGATAATATACATAACCTACACGCATGCTCTTTTTGAAATTGTCCTTGATGGTAAAACATCAAATTGTTTGGACAAGGAATGAAAATGTAGAGGAGGGTGGTTAGTTGAGTCACTTTGTAGCATGTCACATATCGTTTATAGTAATTTACAGTTGGATTGATATATTGTTGACTTCTTGTTAGTAATCACTGAGATATAACTGACATAATTTTCAAAGAAGTTTTAATTCTAATCTTAACTGACTCAAGAAACAATCCGAATATATAACAACCTCCTTTAAAAGCAAATTCATTTCGTGTTGTAATAATAAATATATTTGTATGTGATTTAATAATGGTTTATTATTATTCACTATGTGACATTTTTAAATCCGGAATTAATTCGGAAAAAGTTACTGTGCTTCATATGAGTGAGTGAGTGAGTGAGTGAGTGAGTGATCGAGTGAGTGATCGAGTGAGTGAGTGAGTGAGTGAGTGAGTGAGTGAGTGAGTGAGTGAGTGAGTGAGTGAGATTAAACTCCCGTTAAACATTATTCCTGTTACATTAAGGCTCTCAGCTTAATATGGGGGGAGAACCTGAAGTGATGCAAGTCTCAGACGTTTACCACTTTGTTGAAACCCACGAGCACGTGTATGGTGCTGACAAACCTAGTAACATAATATGGGCGAACCGGAATTCGAACCGACAGTCAAAGAGGTTTCTGACGTGCCCAAGGGACGCAACTCTGCACAACTAATTGCAGCACCTTCTACCACAGGGACACCCATGCCTCGTGCTTCATATAAAGTGGTGAAAATCTTATGTTACTGAAAATACAGAATAATATTTTTACATTCTTCTGATCAATGTTGTATCATAAAATGTCACTGGCAAAACTCAGGAGACTAGGAGGCAGAGAGACAAGCAGGGTGGTGGTGTAACACCTCAATTAACAATGTCGTTATCGGGTAAGACCATCATTTGCGTTGATTCAGGCAGCGGCGAACCACTTAATATACCAGATGATAGAACACGGCCTGGGGGTTGTTGTTGCAAATGACAACCAATGATTGTCCCAATTGAGCTTTGCCAGCTGGTTCTGGTCCTGTCGTAGGCGTCGCTCAATCTCACTCCAGACATGTTGTATACAGGGGGAGAGGTATGGCGTCCTATGCCGTCATTACACTTCTACTCCCAAACTAAAACTAAAACGTTCTCCTGGACGCATTCGCATTAAAATATACATTATTTAATTTCAGAATACATGTACTTTTATTGAACTTTATATGACGTACAGTTACCTTTTCCGTTAGAATAGAATTTACATACAAGTTAACAATTGTATCATTGCCTTTGATTATAATAAGTACTTACCTCACTTTCTCATCTAGCCTTATTTTCTTGCTTCTTCTCAGAAGTCAAGTCAAGTGAAAAAGTTGATCGAATGTCGTTGCGAATATCAGTTTTCCTAGCCACTTTAAGTCAATTCCAGAGAGAAAGAATACCATAACATTCACAGGAAGTATTTAATTGTCCAGGTGAAAGTGCTCAAATTACACGCTCCGTAATCGGATTCCAAAACAAACTAGACCGCCTCCGTGGTCTCGTGGTAGCACGTCTGCTTGGAAAGAGGAAAGTCGGGGGTTCACCGTGTCATACCAAAACGCCAAAATATGATATTTGTTGTTACCCTGCCTAACGCTCGGCATGATGGATTTACATTTAAAACAAGGACTGGCCGTCTCTGTTTCTGAGTTGGGTATTCATGTTAAAGTGCGGCATGGTATCTGAGTGTGCTAGCACTGCAAGATCGACATAAGTCTGGACTCGTACAAGCAGCCACGAACGCACGCACGCACGCACGCACGCACGCACGCACATGCACGTCGCTATATAGGTGCAACAATCTTGAACGCGACTTTAAACCCCATTTCACCTCCTTCAAGGCTGAAGACGTCGGAGGCTGCTTCACAGTGCCTACGCTATCTGAACATTGACTATAAGCCGGCCGCATTGAGACCCCGACACCGAGTGGGGCAAACAATCAAGGAAGTCAAAGTAACTGAGGGCTTTAGAATTAAGGACTGACTGTAGAAACAAGACTGGATTGGACCCCTCGGACGGGTCGGGTAATTTCTCCAGACTCTAGTGGTGGGAAGGATCTCCCGGACACTGACCGAGAACCATCCCAGGTACGATCTAATCTCAGGGTCATGGCGAGGTGAATGTCGGCCTCCTGAATACGGTAAACCGGAACCACGGAGGATAAAGAGTGCTGAAATATGCATCGATGTCAACAACACCAGGCAACTGGGGCACCCCCGTGTGGTGGTCATTCAATGCATAGAGGTGAAGTAGACACGGGCAGGCTTGTCACCCATCTTGTCAAGGGCAATCCTCTTGCCCACTTCACGGGTGGCCCGAACATGAAGATTCCCCAGCAGAGTTCGAATGGCAGAGACACCGTGTAGTCCGAGTGCTCTGACAGCCAGGGGACACTTCTGTCATCAGCTGTATTGTAGGCACCACCGCAAAGAGGGACAATAACATTGGACGATGAATACTTCGACGGAGAGGCAGAAAACATAGGCTTTTCTGGTTGGTTGGTTTGTTGTTTTGTGCCGCACTCGGCAATTTTCCAGACATATGACGGTGGTCTGTATATAATCGTGTCTGGACCAGACAATCCAGTGATTGATATCATGAGCATCGATCAAGCCAAGTAATTACCTGCCGAAGATCCGCTATAGGAGTGGACCATAACTGATCCTCGAGAGAGCCGACGTCAACCAACAACCGTCCCCGGAGGACTTCGATTTGCCCTTACAAGAGTGATGCATGTCGGGCCTAGACGACTAAGAGCGCGGGGATTTCGATTTCCACTTACTAAGTTTGGCCAAATGAAGCAAACATAAACTTGAGCTCGGCCACGCTCTGGGCCACGTTGGCTCGCATACTACTCATCTGAGTTCGCATACTACTCATCTTAGCAGACAATTCCCCGTCTGTGATCATGCGATCCGCCGGCTGCGGGGACGTCGGCAACAGAGTTTAAAATGATCATCCAGGGGTAGACACGGAGGGAAACGGAGCCAGAGACGCCTATCTCAAACCCATCTTACACTGTTGTTTGGAGGCCATAGTCCGGTATAAAAGGATATCAAATTGCTTTGAAAAGCATACAGAGAATTTTAATGACTAACTATTGGCAAACAGTGTCACACGAGGTTGCACTAGTATGATAGTATTACTCAAAGGCAATATACTCGGATTATAAGAATGGCTTTAACTGAGCGGCATTATATAGTTGTTTGGAACGAAAGTTTCAACTGAATACATATTACTTGAATGAAGTTTAAAATGAACTTTCAAGTAAAATTATATTCACTGGCAATGCATATTCTGTTATAAACGGCCACGACCCATTAGAGACCTGACAAATTGATATTCTGGAGAGGTTGGTGTTGGTGTTGGTGTTGGTGTTGGGGTTGGGGTTGGGGTTGGTGTTGGGGTTGAGGTTGGAGTTGGTGTTGGTGTTGGGGTTGGTGTTGGTGTTGGTGTTGGTGTTGGGGTGTTATTTTATCGCAAAAATTAAATTGTCTCAGAAAAATCGTGAAAAAATAATTATACTTCACATTTTTGGAAAAATACAGAAAATGTCTGCCAATTTGACATTGTTGCATATGTGTTTTTAATTTTTTGTTTTAATTTGGGCTCATAGCTTTAAATATTAATAATATCTGGTATTGCATCTATAGCTGAAAACATATCTGGTCTCAAAACAAAATCCCAGACCCCCTCCCTGACTATCTTCAGATTTTCTTGATGAAGTGTTGAATAAGGCTTCAAACAAAACTATGTTCACTGGCGATGCATATGCTATTAAGATATTTGATGAATGTTAAAGAGAAATATTAGACACTGAAATCAGAATTTTAGTAAATATTTTCCCTGCGATCAATAACAGGAAATGTTCATTTTCTCTATTTCCTGTCAATCTTATATGCAGAGTCGGGGAGTTAATTTCTGGGGGAGTTTCTTGTCAGGGATAGAATATATCATATGCCACACTGGACAAAATATCATCCATTCCAAAAAATCCAAAACTTGGAAATACCACCATTCCAATTGGAAATATGACCATTCCAATATTTGGAAAGGTCATATTTCCAAGCTTGGATTTGTTTGGATTTGTTTGGATTTGTTTGGAAATGTTTGGATACAACATGTCATAATCATATCTGTTAAAAGTTGTACAACTTTTGACCTTATGTGAGATTAGTAATGACATGAAAGTAAATAATTAAGAGTATTTTGGCACTATGTACCACGAAAAGACCAAATCATGAGCAAATTTAACTAAAAGAAATTCTGTCATTTAAAGTGGCTACTCTTTATATTTAATTTCTTATCTTCCTTGTCTATAATCATATGACATTGACTTTGAACTTTGAACAATTAAACAAATATTTTGTTTTCCCATACCGCCTTACGGTTGTCGTAGAACAAAGACCGTTTCGAGAATATAGAGGGCCTCATTATTATAATTTGAACTAATATACATATGT